GTCTTTTCTAAAAGGTCTTACAGCGGTGAACAGAACTGACATGCTCCCCTCTCTCGCAGGACATAAAGTCTGGTAATTCAAGGGGAAATTTGCTAATACCCCAAATACTTATTTAACAAGAATTTATGGGCCGGCCCGTGGCTCACTCGGTAGAGTGTGGTGCTAATAACACCAAGGCCCCGGGTTCGGATCCCACATAGGGATGGCCGGTTCGCTCACTGGCTGAGCGTGGTGCTGACAACACCAAGTCAAGGGTTAAGATCCCCTTACCGGTCATCTTTTAAAAAAAAAAAAAAAAAAGAATTTATGTTTTCAAAGAGAACACATTCAATATTTAGTGTAAGAATAATCCTTTCTTCAACAAAGAAAACAATACAAGAAAAAAATCTTCAGGGGTTAGCTGGGAAAAAGAAAAATGGATGTGTGAGATGGAGTCGCTGGTGCTCCAGCAAAGCCCAGGTGGACGGCGGGAGAGGGGCAGTTCTACTGATGGCTTCAGAACTAAACCCAGAGGACCACGCTTGTCCTCAGGCATCTCTTTCTCAGAGCCATTACCACCGTAGTGGAGTCAACACTACTATCTAGGGCCCAAACCAGAGGAGGTGGTCCTCTGGTGTGAGGTGCCCCTGCAGGAGCCCAAGGGACAGTTCTGGGCCAGTGCTATGATGGGTCCCTATAGGTGCCCAGCCTGCACCCAGGAGAGGGGGCGTATTTAGCCAACATTGGAGAGGGAACGTGAGCCAGAGGGCAGGAAAGACACACCACTAAAACAAGCTCATGGAGTAGACTCTTTACAGTGTGCCAGGGATACTAGGCCTGAGTGTTAAAAGCCTCTTTAGAACTTGACACTTGGCTTAAAGACATTCATCTTTAAACAGGTTCACTCTTTCCCTGGGTTCCAATCAGCAGAGGCCCCGAGGCCCTGAGGGACCTCCCCTACTCACTTGCCGGTTCAGCCTGATGGACAAGATGTTGCTGGAGTAGCTGTAGTTACAGATCTCCGTGCCTTTCTTGAAGTGATACACGTTCATCTGCCGCGGTTTCGTGTGGCTGACCACCACCACCAGGCTGCTGGAGAAGAGGCGCTCCACAATGTACACGTCGGGGATCTCATCTGGGAGGGAGAGCGACAGGTAGTCACACGGGGTGGCCCACAGCAAGAGAGGGATTTCGGTCTCCTGGACACTAGGCACAGTGTATGCCGGTTTAGGAATGTTCTCTGGGAATTACTGACAGGGTGCCCTCCACTGGCACGCATGTGCCATGCTCCAGTGCAAACCCCCACCCCACCAGGGGAACTTCAACCATCTCCCAAGGTAGCTCTCAGGATACTAAGTGTTAGCATCCCTTCCAAATATCGAGATTAAAGACGATGCTAGTGACTAGAACACAAGGTCAGAATCTCCAGAGCACCTCTGACGCTGTCCCCATGGTGGGATCACCCCTCCCCGCCCTAGGGCTCCCCAGTTTGCTCTGTAAAGTATATCTGGAAGGTTTGGACCATCTCAGTCTGCCCTTTCACTGTGAGAGATCTCAGTGGAAAGACTGCTCGGTGGGGAGCCTCTGTTTTCAGAACTCTGCTTGTCCTGCTGGTGGCTACTGCGATGGGGAGGCAGTGACATCATTAAGTCTGTGCCCCCCTCCCATCTTGCTGTGCTCCCTAGCCATGTCTGGAATCCCTTTCCTGTTGAAAACAATCTGGACAGCAGTATCAGGACCAGGAAAGTACTTCTGTACTCAGGAAGAAGGTGAGTCAGCAAGCCTCCTGAGCAACCCGTTGGTGATGCCTCAGTGTCTTCTGAGAACGTTCTCTTCCTATGCACATTGGTCTTATGCCTGAGCAAGTCCCGTAGGGAGTAACAGGGGCAGATAGAGTAAAGTACTCACGAAAACAGTATAATAAAAATAACATTTTACAAATGAAATAGGAGCCCAGAATATTATTTGCCAAACCACTTTCTTTCCAGGAAACCCAAAGCTTGTATATTCTTCACTATTATGATGGCATAAACGATTACCCTGGGAAAACAAAAGAGCCACATTCCTAAGCTGAATTATTTTTAATATTCACTAGAAATAACTTCCACATCTTTGGCATGTGCTCTGTAAACAGGATAGTGTTGCTTTATAATCCAAAGAAAAGACTTCCGTGACTGACTGAACGTTATCACTATTCTACGCTGCCCATAGAATGGCAAAGAGAAGTCACAAGTGACCTTTTGATTTGACAATTATAAAAACTGACGACTGTGCACATAAGTATATGAAAACATATCAGTAATATGATTTTAAACAAACGATTTCCTAATATAAAAAGAAAACATTACTTAAGCTATTGCCAAATGTTAGTAAGTGCTTCACAGTGGTTTTTTAAGCAATAGAGGCAAAGATGTATTTATATTTGAAAAATACTGGGCCGGCCCGGTGGCGCACTGGATAGTGCGCCGCTTGGGAAGCGCGGCGGCGCTCCCGTCCGAGGGTTCGGATCCC